GTTCTCAAACACATTGCAAGCCTCCATCGCTGATTAGCACTGATGGAGCATAAATAGAGCGACGTTAAATAAAAAAAAAAAATAAAAAAAAAAATAGGCAAAAATATGGAGTGCCGCTCCAAGACGTTCTCTATCACATAGTGGAACGATTATTTGAATTTAGTGATTTGAATTTCGATGAAAATGCAACAACATGATTATTTTTAATCTGTAAATATGAATACGACGAAACAATTGCAAAAATATGTAACAAGAATTATTTAACAATGAAGCGGCGAACACTGGGATTATTTGTTATTTTATGGTTGCTATTAAATATCCTGCAATTAGAAAACTTTCTTATTTACTTCACTTATAATATGACTATAGACTTAAATAAGCAATTTAACATTATATTGTAGAAAGACTGTTGTATTAAACTTTTTTAAATTACTGTTTTTTATTAATCTCTAAATAGGTGAACAATAATTTGTTATGATGTATCTACATGCCCATTATCTAGTAAATTTGCCGATAAAAATATTTTTACGTCAAAAACAAAAGTTAAAAAATTAAATTCTGTAACCCCTTCCTTCCAGAATTAAAAATCTGCTCAAATACTCATCTTTTCATAAGAAATAAACAGGCCTTAATTTTTTAAGAAAAACTCCTACCAAATTTTGTCGTATTAAAAAATTCCTTTCGAAGGTGAACTTCAAGGGTTTTGATTCTCACCCACTATATAAGTGGATCCCTAAATTCTTCTTGTAAACTCATTTTTTTATAAGAAAGAAACAGACGTTGATTTCATCAAGAAATTCCGATCCAATCTCGAATTTATTAAAAAAATTGCTTTTGGAGGTGAGTATTAAGGGTGGTTCTCACCGCCTGAACATATTTTGATCACTAATTTCTGCTTGAATACTCATTTTTTTATAAAATAAAAGGGGCATAGATTTTATCCTGAAGAATCCGATCAAATCTCGAGATATTAAAAAAACCTGTTTCGGGGGTGAGTTTTAAGGGTAGTTTTTTCCCCTAGACATTCTTACTAATGAGCGTTCAAGCTCCTAAACTGTACCCAAATACTTGTCTTTTTAGAATAGTTAAGTAGACGTTGGATTTCGTAAAAAATGTTGATTCAACCTTGAGAAATTGAATAAAAACGGGATTAGGGGTGAAGTTGGATTGGTGGTTTTCACCCTTTAAATGTGAATTTCCACAGATAAAAAAAAATACGTGTCAAATATTTTTCAAAACTCTACCCCTCTGTCAAGTTTCAGAAAAATCGGGACGGATGGTAAGTATCTCTCCCTTGTTAGTTCGAATACTTCTTCGACCTAGTTTTGCTGAAACTCCGACTTTATAAGAATCTTGGCTTGCTCGCATTTACGAGTATTTAAATAACTTTTTTGGTATTTTTCTTCTACCCACAGATTAATTTTTACAATAAGGAGGTTGTTTGGATCCCAACTACTGGTTCCGAGCCGATGAATCTCTCTTTTGTTCTTAACTTTGCTAGTCTATCCGCAATAACATTACCTCTGATCTTCCAATAGCATACCTAGTTTAGATAAGAGTTAGCAAATACCTTTCCAGAGTTATAAGTGCAGCTCTGCTGTCGGAAAAAATACTAATATATGTATTTCCCTCAATCTAAGACCATCTAGGTACAGTTTATAAGACCCATTTGCTTAGTTTGGTTTTATAATCGGCTAAGTACGACTCAGCCACCGAACACAAACAAAACTCGTACACCGAGCGTCTATCCATCAAAATCCAATGTCATCGGCGAAGTTGTGTACAAAAAAAAATTGAAAGAACAAAATATTGTTAAACGATACATATGGCTCGATGCTTTAACCGATACTACCGATTTTCGTAACTTGTGTTTGTATGCGAAACTTACATCTTTCCATATCAGTCTCGCTGTCCCGTTTTTCGTAATCGTCGTCCACTTCTTTTTCTTGTCAATCGCTCGTGGTTTAACTAACTTTATTTGCCACATCTCATACAAAGAGAGAACACTTTATTTTATTTTTCATACAAAATTTCATACAGATTCTTTGATCCATTTTTTAGAATAGGCAAAAATCGAAGACGAGCCAAAAACACATCCAAGTAAAAGAGCTGTCAAAAATTAACTAAACTTCAAAAATGGCCGACTTTGTCAGCATAAGTAAGAAACATGAGTACCAGTACAACGCTACAAAAAAATTAAAAATCAAATTTACGTAGCCCGTGGAAGTTCAAAATTTGCGATACTTTTTGAACAGATTTCGTATACGTGAATGAATGATAATTTAAATTTTGATCCAGAGCAATAAGTATTCCTGCTTCTATTTAATATGGAATTAAACCGCCATAGTGGTCAAGAGAGTTTAGTTCGTGCATGATAAAACTGTATATGTATGTATTTTATTGAATTTGTCGAGACTTCTCCTGGAATATCACAAACACCTTTCGAGCTTCAACAATCTAGGATAGTCCTGAACAATTTGACACAAGATCTGATTTTAAAAACATTTGTATTGGATGAGTATATGATGAAAATTAGTTACAAATTATAGGAACGATTAATAGAATATCATTTAATTTTATAAAAATTGCGAAGTAAGTGAAAAAAATTATTTGACATTAAAAAATAAAAAATAAGAAAAAGACAATTATCAATGGATTAGCAGTCTCGGAATATCTCAATTATACTCGATGTTAATTATACTCGATGTATAAAGTTCAAAATAAGAGCCTCATTCGAAACACGAAACGTCTCTCAAAGGGTCTCTTAGATATTTGTTTATTGATTGAGAGGTATTCTTGAAACTTTTTTCGTTCGATAAAATATGTCAGAGCTATTTATTACTAATTGAGTAAATTATTGGAAAGTTTATTTTTCTTTGTTGCATTAAAATATAGATTTTTACGGTTGTGTACAATATCGATTATTAATAAACTCATGTAGCGCACTATTCGATATTTTTTCCTTAGAATTATTATGTGTGATAACACGTGTATGTTTTTGCACAAACTTGAAATATTAATAATAGTTGCCTTTTTATACTATGAACTTTTTTACCTATACAGAAAAGTCATCGTAGTCCTAACATTTACGCTAAAAACACAAAAATCACGTATGCGATGAAAAAAATTAATGAAATAGAAAGTAAAGTTGATTGTTTCTCAAAATTTCTATATTCGGCTGAAATTACTGGGATTATAGTGTTGTAATGGAGAATTACGACTTTATCCATTCTTCCGTTAGCTTTCACAAGTATCAGTTCACCGTTTTAAGGCTAAGAATACATACGTATACACATTCATGATTATTTTTTTATTTGAGGTGCGGTAGATAAGCTGATTGGTGGAACCAGGAGAAACCAACGGAGAAAAGAGGAGCTGGGATGGCGATCACGAAAAGTGAAGAGAAGATTGAGAGAGAAAGAGATAGACATAAGTTGCACGTGTAACCCCAGCTCAAGAAAATCAATCGCGTCACGAAATCGTTTTATAGGATTTTCCTGTTTCATTTTCATTTGTTTTTGGCCGCGGCTTCACCGGATTTTTTCAGGAAGATACACAACGGGTATGCGGATCATGTGGGTGTAACTGTTGATTCGGTCGCGCGGAACCAGTGTCACAGCTCTGTATCTGTGTGAGTACGCATCCCGGTAAGGATTCGCGCTAACAGCACTGGCTCCAATTTGAGTAGCAACGACGAACTGCCAGAACAATACCGAACTTTAGCAACAGATTGCCAGTAACCAAGTTGGTGCGTATTGAGCGCATTCATAACACCTTCCTTTTTTCATATTCGGGTATTGTGACTTTATCAAGCGCACTCATATGTACATATGTTCTGTAAATAAAGTAAATTAAGCGAGTGTCACCGTATTTTGAGCTGCCAGTGATCCTCATCCTGACGTTAGTTTTGTATACGATTAGTATGTACGTCCAGAATACTATTTAGCCGTGAGCGCGTTCACACCTCGTGAAGCCATCCTCTTAACCTCTTTTAACCGGTCCACGAACACAGAAATAAAAAAAAACTTTTTTATAAATCTATTGTTCCTTATTCCTAAAAACATAAAATATAAAGGAATGTATCATTTATTGAATATATATGGGTTATTCTTGGCTATTTCGATTGACTTATAAGCCCTAGGTCACGGATTTTTTTTAATTTGGCACAATTCTTGTACACATGAAAGTGAGATATTTCCCAAATTTTGATGATGATATATTAATTATATCAAAAGTTATCAACAATTAAAGAAAAATGATAAAAAATTTTCAAACGGCTATATTTTAATAACTAATAAAGATATCGAAGTTGGATTTTTTTCAAAATACTTATAATACCTTGAACTTTCGAAATAATTACAACAATAAACAATAGAAATTTTTTTTCGAAAGTTATTAACTTTTTGTTTAAACAATTGCTAATATCTCAAAAAGTATATTTTTTTTGAAAAATTCTTGCTCCTGCGTGTTCCTGAGAATTTTTGCTATCGAAATCAATTATAAAATTCAAGAGCCCGACATATCGGAAGGCGTAGCCCCATTTAGAAGAAAACGTCTCAGCGCAAGACCACGAAGACGTCCCGGTGTCGTTGCGACGTACACCGTGGCATCTTCTTTTAATTAGGGCTACGCCTTCCGATATGTCGGGCCCTTGAATTTTATAATTGATTTCGATAGCAAAAATTCTCAGGAACACGCAGGAGCAAGAATTTTTCAAAAAAAATATACTTTTGGAGATATTAGCAATTGTTTAAACAGAAAGTTAATAACTTTCGAAAGAAAATTTCTATTGTTTATTGTTGTAATTATTTCGAAAGTTCAAAGTATTATAAGTATTTTGAAAAAAATCCAACTTCGATATCTTTATTATTTTTTAAAATATTTATTGCTATCTGCGAATTGATTAATTCAGACTTGTTTTCAAATATAAATTAATATAATAATTATCATGCAAAATATATAAAATTATTTTTCATATGTTATTAACGTTCATATTCTAGATGACTCGAAAGTTCCGGAAAGCAGGATATCTGAGTTAATTGTACTTGATATAAATAACACAAATACAGAGCAATCAGATGAAATTCGTGTTGATTTGACTAATACTGAATCAAAAGATGAAAACAGAGAGGCAGAAGCTTCTCCATCTGATAATGCAAAACAAGGAAGTACAACAATGGGTACATCAAACGTACCATTATTACGTGGAGCAACAGCTAGAAGATCAACTAGAACATCTTTTAGAACTATTCATGGAACGCGACCTACACCAATTGTTTGGGACAATCAATCTTCTTCACGTGGTAAGCAAATTTCATTATTAATAGTACCTATAATTTCCTATTGATATTATATAAAATTTCTACTGCAAAAATTATACTTTAAAGTTTACAATAAGAACTTTGCCACCATTACAGTGGTTACAAATGATACAGTCTTACCAAACGACAGAAAAAAACCCTGCGGTGTACTCGGAGAACGTTCAGCTGCCACAAGCTGACACAAATTCATGCCCACGTAGCAGTTCATACTTTCTGTCGTAACTTTGAGTACCGCAATTGCACAACCGTGTAGTGATGTACACGGTCGGCTAACCGAAACTTGGGTTGACAGCATCCGCAGAATATGCGCGCGCACGAATTAAAGAAGAGAGAGGGAGGGAGAGAGAAACCTTATACTGCAGTTGCTGCTGATGGTGTTTTTGGAGGCATCGGTAATAGCTGACAATACGCCCGCAGATCTGCTGTGTAGACTGCGAATTGGATCATCAAAATCAAGCGAAAGAAAGTCCAAAAAAATTGCAGTGATCCGTGGCATTGAGTGAAGGTGTTTCCGTCAGATCGGCGTTCCACGCTGAAGAGAGCGAGCGCACAGCCAGATACTCGCACGTACGCTACGCTGACCTCCTCGTAATCACCTGCGGTTGTGTGCGCAATGCATTTCTCATGTGTGCTCACTCGCTCCTATATTATGCTACACTATCTTTCTCTTATACCTTCTTTCTCTCCTTCTTTACGCGCATCTTCATTTTCACGTCAAACCAAATCTACGCCGCTCCTTTCCTGGCTCTATCTAATCTGTATCTTTAATTTGATGGACTGAGCATGAGTGATACGCTTACGCATATCTACTGTAACGGGTGGTTCGGTCGCTCAAAAATTGACCGCTGACTACCGCTGATTGTTCTCTCAGTGCGGAGTTCTGCTCAAGATTGCGCGTCGGTATTTGGGAGATTTTGTATTCTGATATGCTAATTTTTTTTATTTTTCGACAACCTCAGAACATGGGAGCAAGTGACACAAACAAATCTACACTTGCTATCAACCTCTTGATGACAACATCGATCAAGGTTATTGTTGACCTCACACCAACCCAACACACATACTCACAATCATACCTGTGCGTCATCATCTATTTAAATTTATGCAAATGAGTAAGAAAAGAGTCAAAACGAGCCGGAAAAGGAGCAACGAATTGGGAAGAGAGTTATCAGCCGCGATAACGACCGGACGTCTTATCCGCGAAGGGAATCTAAACCGCGATTAGCGCTGAATCTCCGTTTCGATATTACGCTCGTTCAGCCAAGTCTTAGCGAGGTGTTGCCTTATTGTTTGTCGCTACCTAATCGATTCATTGATCCTGGATTTTGAGTAAATTTCAGATTGTTGATTGCCGATACTTAAGCCGAGGCTGATTGTTGAGCGATCCAGCACGTGCGCCCAAGTAAATGACGACGATAATTCATATTAAGCGATTATATTCGTTGTTCATTATTCATATACATTGGATTTGCTGATTGTCACGCTTTTGGTTGTGGGTCCACTCCGCTGCTTTGCCTTTAATTTACCGGTTAATTTAAAATTGGTCCTGTCGCATTTGCCGCACATTCACTGGTTGTTACTACGAGCCGCTGATCCCGTTTTGTTGTTTGTCGTGCCAAACACTGCGATCAATCGATTAATTCTTTTTTCTTTTCCTATTGTTAATCTTACATAATGTTTGCCGATTGCAACCGGACGCTGTAATAAGCTCGTGAATTGCGTGTACGATTTTTTATAATTCTATTTTGTAAATTTTCCTTAGTAAATTATTGTTTTGTAATTGCGCCATACACCCTCCAAATTTACTACAGCGTGTGTGTTCGTTTTGCTGCGTTAATTTTGTTAAATGGATTTTGATAATAAATTCTGTTTTATTGTTTATCTTAATCTCAACGCGCTATCAATTGCATTAATTGTCTACGCGTTTCCTTTGTTTCTTCCCCTTCTTTTCTGACCCACTTTTTTACAAACAGGAATCCACTCTCTGCCCTGGGAAAACAAGTAGATATAGAGTTCAATAAAGTTCGGAGAAGTATTGCTCTGCGACACCCGAAAAATTTAACAAATAATTTTTGTTAATGCCTGGCACCTAGTTATATATTTAATTTCCGTTATGTGCGTTGTTTAAGTTCTCAAACACAACGTTACAATACATATGTCCGGATCAACGTCGGCACGCGGACATACCAAAAAGTAATGGATAGAGGGGTAATCGCGAATAAAGGGGTTTTCGAGATCACAGTCTTTCTTATTTAGAAGCTCGCTCAATATTACAAATTATAATAGGGTTTTATTCCATAACGACATGCGTTTAAATTACTGTCGCTCTTTTCTGTAACGGTCCAGTCTGATTAGCCTTTTCCTTCATCTTCCACTACAAAACAGCAACCCGTCATATACAAGAAAACTAAAAAAAGGCGGTATCAGAGCTAAGGCGCTCTTCTCACATACGCGTAAATGTGTTAGGGTAATTCGGCGAAAACAAAACCATATAAGGAGCGTGACGTCACAAGCGTGGGAAATTTATTGTATACAATGCAAAATCGATAATTGCAAAGTTTTTTTTTACGAACAAAAGCATTATTTAGTCAATTTTGATGCGCTAATCTCGAATCTCAAGTTATTATAGTCATTCAATATGTATTTGTTAGTTTAATTTAATTTAGAAGTAAATATCGCTAGTAATTTTACAACAAATAAATATGATGCAAATTCGAATATACAATAACGATCCTAGACCTTAAGAAAGAGAAGCAAGAATTTAACACTTTGATAACTGATTTTCGACTGAGCTATGAATAAATAAAAAAATTTATAATTTATTTAAACATTTAAAATTGCGTTGCGAGATAGCGATTCAACTGTACATACCTATAAAATTACTGATAATGATTGTTACCCGTTAGTTGATTTTATAATAGCTAAAAGAGGAATTTCCGAATTCGTTATTTAATTATTATTCAAAAATGGATTGTTAAGTTAGTGGATTTTATTTTGAGTAATGTTCCACTTATCACGAGTAACTTTTTGATGTGAAAATCTTCCGTAAATTTATTGTAAATTCCGTGTTATTTAAATATTTAACTTAAATCGCTTATAATTTTAAGAGGCCATTTTTCCTTGAAAAACGATTTATATTAAAAAAATTCATTATTTTCTATTTGATTTTTTAAGTCACTAATTTTCAATTTCGAGCGAGCCATTTTGCGACAAAACCTGTACAAAGTTTATGCGAATATCAAAAATAGCGTTGTAGGGGCTACCAAGCGTAGGAAGGAGCCGCTTTCGCAAGTATCAATTCGCTCGTCGCTGCGGCAAGAGGACTTATAATTCTATCTTGCCTAGCAGCGCGTGCATTGATCGAAATAAAGACTCAGCTATTTCCTGAGACTGATTTCATTATTCAGTGGTTAGCCTGCTATTCCTTTCATACGCGATAATCCAAGTGCTCAACTCATAAGACTTTTTCTCTTATGAGAAAAAGCAGCCTTAGATTATCTCCTCTCTAAAATTCATATTGCCTAGAAATTAGATTGAGTATTCGTTGCGGCGCTGTCGGGCCTCTCCTCGATAGATGCAACAGTACTCAATTGTATTTTAAACGGTTCATCGAAGCGGCGACCTACGTGGATAACACTGTGTTCGCTATTCGTTGATTGTAGTAATATCAAAACTTGAAGAACTTTCACGAGTCAACTTCTTGCTTACTCTCGGAAACGCGATTATGAATATATCTTAGAGGCCGAACTATTTATTTTAACAACGTAAGGTAAAGATCAAACGTTACATTTCTATACCTATCATTTATTTCATAATCAATAATTATGCTCGTAGAAACAGAAACAGAATTTTCTACAATCGAACAAAGATAAAGTTCACAGAATAATTAAGTAACGTATACCACAACGTGAGCTACCAAAAAAGAGGTCGAAGGTCTACATTTGTACAGAATGGAAAGATTTTTATTGATTCTCGTGAATATTTTCCATCTGATTTGTCTTGAGATTAGGTGCAAGCTGTTAACTTGAGGATTTTCATTCCACTACATCCTTTTCATTCAACTATAAATGGAATATCACTCATTATTTAAATGTGTGCTTGCGAAACCCGAAGCTAACCGACATTTATAATGATTCATGGGTGTTGTATATGTGTGATCTACAGGATGGGACTGAAAAATATCACTTTTTACCTTTTACTATCATGGAAATTGAAGAAGTAAACTGTATCACTTAATTCAGATTAGATAATTATCTATTTTAATATACTTACGTAAATAATAAGTAAAAATTATATAAAAAAACTTTAATAGAACAAATCAACATATAAAATAATTGTATTAGGTAAGTCAGTTTACTCAATCAATTTGCGAGATTTACTAAAAAGAATAACAACAATATATTACTAAGCGTTGTCCTTGGTAACTAACTAAACAATGTTGAGAAGAACGACGAAATCTATATTCTACATTATTCCCTACTCATTTAGATTGTCATCCCGACAATCCGAAGAAAAAAAAAGAAAAATAACAAAATTAGAGAAAGTAGTACACTAAGCGGAGTAATCTTTTGCAAATAGCTAAAGGGTCCGTTTCTTAATGATAATTCAAATTCTTCAAATAACATATTAGTGTCAAATATTATCAAACGGGTTAAATTTTCTGTAAAAGCCAAAAGACTCGTCTCTTGGTGTGATCTATTTTATCATAATCAGATATCTTGATAATGTCTTTAATCATCAAAACCGAAGAAACTAGTATACTAAGCGAGCTAATCCTTTGGTAATCGACCAGAGGGCCCGTTTATTGATGACAATCAAATTTCTTCAAACAACACAGTCGTCTTAAATGAATTATCTTGAAAATCTCTGTTAATCATGTATGGTAATCATCCATGGTCGAGAGTGGGGAGTTGACATGTTATGGTACCTAGCCTATGTCCTTGCTCCAGCATTTGCTCGACGGTTTACGGGAAAAACCACGG